GAAATAACAACAGCAAGTATTCATAGATATATAGGGTTAAAACATTTTTGCGTTTTATAAAGTATATAACCTTAAAATAGTCACCGAGTTAAAGACTTTTATGCATAAAATGTTTATGATGAAAGTGGAATACTGTTGCATTTTTTTAGTTACCACTACCAGCCATATACAGTATATGTAACATATTTACAGTACATTCCTAAATTAAGATTGTTTATGACATTCACAACGATGTTAATGCTCCTCTTATTTTATACTCAGCTTAAAAAATTTCCCTTTTGTTGCACAACAAGTGTCACCTGTCAATCATCTGTGGCCAGTGAATCACATGCTGCAGTAAAGTGTAGCCCCTGTAACGCGTTACTGGGTTTTGACATGCATTCTGAATGGCTTCATTTGTTGGATCCCCAAAATGTTTTGCACAGTACCTTTTAGTCCCCATAATCATGACTACTGTACATGCATTCATTAAGCAAATACCTGTAACATCCCATCATGCTTAATGCCACATATTAAAATTGCTAGGTTAGAATTATAGGGAAAATTAGAGCAAATTAAAGGCAAATCTTAGAGTCATCACCTATTTCAGTCTGTTAAAGACCTTAAACTGGGATAAACATTTTTCGTTTCAGCAGGACAATGACCCAAAACAGAAACAAATGCTACACACCTATTAAGACAGCTCTGTGAAGTTGGCCCCCTACAAACAGCGCAAATGATGAAACCCACCTCATTCGTTAGTGCTGTGATTGTTCTATTTTTTGCCATTGAAAGTACCATTTGTGCAGGTTTCATTTCCAAGATATAGAGCCTTGTTTCCTTGGGGGCATGAAGTGACTCAGCCCTCCACAAATTCGCAGGAAAACCTAATGGGTCTCATTAGTTAATGCTCCATTTGTGTTCATTTGTGTCATTGAAAGTAGCCTCCCAGCTGCTTTTGTTACTGAGATAAAACATCTTTTTTGGGGTGATCACATGAGGAATTGCTAGTTCAACAATGTCTGCAATTTTTTTTCTCTGCCTGGGAGGATGGCAGCGGTTGATTTTGCATTTAATACCAGTATCTTCTGTGCATTTGTGTGAGCAAGATTTTGTTTTCCAATATCATACCCTAATTAGAAGAGTTTCAGGTTGAGCCTTAAAAGCAAACATTAGCCACCAAAAAAATCTTTAACTTGCACGTCTTAATACTTTGTAGCTATGTCCTTTTTAAATCTGAAAAGGTAACCAGTTTCTCATTGTCCTTCTTAAATAAATATGCAAATCAAGTGACATTTTAAGATTCAACCCATTTTTCAAGCCGTGTATTTAAAAAGGTTAGATTTAGCACCTTCCTGCATTACAAGACCATTGTTTTAATATCTTTTTTTATGCAAAAAAATGTAAATGTGAAAAAGAATCAGGATATTTAAAGGGGGCACTATGTACTAAGTTGACCCAGGTTGTTCATAACAGAATTGCAAAACAACATTGGAAACTTGACCATCTCACACATGCAGACTGCAGGAAATAATGGATTTTTTTTTCAGATAAAATAACTGAACATATATCTAAGGTCTTAATAAACAGTTATTATCCATGTCTTTGTATTTACAGTGCTCTTACGTGCAAACATAGCATGATAAGGCCACATTTGTGTTTCTGGTCAATCCTTGGTATAGAATAAAGCATGAGGGCACACCTTGACATCTGAAGACACAGATATCAGTACCTTTGTTAAGTCGTTATATTTCTCCCAACTGAAATATTGTCTTTTGCAGTATGTAATATAATGACCCCAGGCCATGTTTCATTTACTAGTTTTTCAACAAACTAGTGGTGAACTGGTGATTAAAAAAAATAAAACAAATTTGTCCTTTCCAGAGAATTTGAAATAACTGATTCAGACTAGGAAACGTCACCAGTGCAACCATCACCTGCAGCTTCTCACTCAAAACCTGGTATTAATCAACGAAATTCCTGCTGCAGTGCTTGCATCACTACTTCTACTTTCAGTAATATTGCAGCCCTAACATAAAAAAATGGACATTGGCTAAGCTGCAAAGAACACTCTAAAATCATGGCATAGTGTTTAAAAGAAATGTGCTAAGAAAGCTTTTCTTTCCATGTATCTGATGTACAAACAAACTGCTGTCATCCAGCTTACTAAACACACAGCAAAACACCATGCTACCTTGTTTCCCCATTTCTGTTCCTTCTTTTAACATACCTTCATATCTTGTCTACTTTTCCTACTTCTTCTTTTCCTATTCTTCCTGTCCAAACGTCTCGGTCCTTGGAATGTCAAGAATCATCCCTTCCTCCTTCTTCCATGCTGTTTGATTAAATCTCAAAACTTTCTTCTATTCTTTTTTCTACTTCTGTCCCAAGTGTCCAACATGGCTCAATTATGCCCCTTTTGGTCTTGACACCATCTCCTTGGCCCTCGGTCTCTCCAGCATTCTACCTCTGGGTCAGTCAGCTGGTGTCCTACAGTGTTTTATGTCCACATTTCCTCAAACATTTATTACTGATTTCCAACAAGGCCCAACACTTCTGATGCCATCATTCCTGATTTTCTTCCTCTTGGCACCTGCTGCTCCTGATGCCAATTCGCTCAGTCTTTGGTTTGTCTGGCATCCTACCTCTGGTTCAGTGAGCGGGCTTTCAACAGTATCGTATGCATACCTTTCTTTCCGTCTCTAAACTCATCGTCCAAGATGGCTCAAAAATCCAGTCCTAGGTTCCTCCCTCTCTACCCCTGTTGCCATTTCCTCAGCTCCAGGTCTGTCCAGCATTGTAACATTAAACCTTACTCCATATGTCAACACAAAACAGGAGACACTGCAGAAACCTCTTTTCCTCCCCCCGCAAAAAAAACTTGTTCAATTTAATCTGACTTTTCAATAAACTAGGGATCAATCTTGCTACAGATATAATGGCTTGGCCTTCTACAGTCATCAGATTTCTGGAAATTATTCTTAATTTGGAAACCTTTTCCATTTCCTTACCTTATGATAAGCTTGATCACATTCAGCTACTGTATATACTGTATGTCCACCTATTTGTGATCCAAATTGTATACAAAAAAGTAACTTCTTTTTCCCCTTTTTGGGTCACTTAATTATGCCACAAGAATAATTCCTCATGATCAAGCATTTATTTAATATCTCTTAGATCTAGGCTCATCTGTTTTTTTCCTTCATCGTCATGTAACCAAGCTCACATCAACTTGCAAGTCAGGGGTTTGATTTTGGCATCTATTCTTGAAGAAATGGAATAGGCTACCTTTTTCATCATTGCCAGACAAATTTTCGTCATTGCCAGAGGGTCTCTAAATCTTCAAAAATGCACCCAATATTGGATTCACATGCTGTTGTTAGTCAGTGGTTTGGTACTGTAGTAGCAAGGCATATTGATGAGCTACAGAAAGAAAGGTTGTTATAAAATGCCACTGAGGCCCCTCTCTGTGATCTCAGCCATGGAATGACCTAGTGGTCTTTGCGTGTGGGAAAGTAAGGGAGATAAGTTTGTCTTCTGGATAAGGAACTTTAATAGGACAGTCCAGATCCAGTGTCAACACTCCCTAATGTGGATGTCCACTGCTGGTGCCTGGATGTCTAACAGATAGCCATGGGCACCTCTGGACCTAATCCTAAAAGTCACAGGGCATGGTCAATCATCCAAGAGATGACTGACCAATCAGGGACTTGCAGGGTGTGAGTACCCACTCCACCTGGTGACTTTTTGACCAGCAACACCAACCGTGTTTTCCCCAATAATAAGTAGAACACATCACCTCTAATTCTGCTTTTCTCTGCTGAACCAACGTGGCTGACTGAGAACAGAAAACACATGTCTGCCACACTTTGGAATTTACACTTTTTCCCTGAAAACCGAGTTAAAGAGTGAGCCCAAATGTAAAGACAGAATTCTGCTCGAGGTCTTGGATGCAGCATTATCTTGCAACCAGCTACATACAACTGTGCATCCACTGAACTACTGAATTCAGCAGCTGCTAAACCAGAAGCAAACTGAGTTTCTCCCCTTTTTGAGTGACTTGCACCGACTAACCAGTCTCCACTCTGTGTACTGACTTTGTCCCAGTTTAGCTCAAGGCCTACCAGGACACCCCACTTGCAAGATTGTAAGTGGGAGGTCACTACGGGATCCTTTTCTCTTCTCACCCTGATACTTCAAGGTGCCTCGAGTCAGTAGAGCACAGCCTGGACAGCACTGCAACAGATCTGGTCAGATATTCTTCCATCCTTCTGCGCGAGAGTTATGAATCCACTGTTGTGGATTAGTATAACTCAATATTCGCTATTACTGCTCTAGAGAATTCAGTTGTTATTTTAACACATGTTGGTATCAATTTAATTAATTTAAGTAGCAGTATTTACTTATGAGCACCTGAAAGTGATTATGTTAATGAGTGTAACCAACAGTAAACTTAATGTATTATCCTTGTTTTTATGTATCTCTTCTTTATACCCTAATACCTTGTTTGAATTCTACCCATTCGTCATTGCCACATTTCTTTAGAGTCACAACTGGAAACAATAGCTTGTTCTCATTCATTCTGATAACCTACATTGTTCATATAATTAATGAAGGAAGATATTCTAATTTTATCATGAAATTCCTCCATCATTATCAAGTAACATGCCTCTAACTATGGGTTTTTCCACTTGGGTATTTCCTCTGAGAAATCCTTACAAGTTGGGGGTTATGATTATTACTTTTACTTTTACTATTACTCTTGTTAACATCTCCCTCTTAATGGGGTTCGAGCCTTCTCATCTTGTGGCGATGAAGCTGCCGCTTAACCAAATGGATTAAGCCAAACCTATTTTACCAAAATAATTCAAGCATTCACAAAGCATCTAATTCTTGGATGTTGTCTCTCATAAACTATGATTTTTTCACATCTGTCCAAATGATAACGTTTTTTTCTCAATATACAATATTTGCGGTAGGTTATTTCTGATTTCTTCTTTGTCAACTACGATGTTTATTACCTTTCTTGAGTACTGCTTTTCTTGGATACTTGGTATATGAAGCATATAACCACCAGAATGTTGAAAATGAGGATTATGCCCACAGGAAAAAGAAATGCCCATAACATTGGCTTTTTTATGTCAAATCTCCCCTCTCTGTCAAGTGCAGCCAACCAGCAGCTGGAAAACAGGTGATCATCAAATTAAAAAAAAACAATCTTACAAAAATATTTACATATTTAGATTTAAGATTTTAGATGAAATATTTACACTGCCCTTGATTTTATAGGATAGCATTTAAAAATAATGGCAGTTAAGTTTCTGAAACAAAATACTTTACATTTATTTGTTTCAAGGAAATACATAAAATGACTAAAACAAAATTAATTCATCT